CGCGACTGATGAATATTTACTAAATACTAGAAATGTTTGTTTTTTAGAGTTTTAACTTGTTTCATGACTATCTCAAGCTGACTGACACACAAGCGCTTCTGCCTTATGATGCTAGTAAAATTGGTCAAATGATTATCATTTATCACAATTATTTTGAATAATTAGAAGAAAAAAACCTTTGCGAAATATTTTTACATTCACAATTGTGCAAACATTGAATCGCCAGGTCACGGTTATTAAAGTCCTGTCAATAGTTTGATCCGTATCGCTCAAAATATGTGATCGAAATCATCAACACTTATAAGCGGGTCAAATGAACGAATCCTTCACGATTGACCACATGCCTACTCCGTTTATCGCTGCGCAGTAAGATGTAGCGATTGCGACCGCTACATCTTACTGCGACGAGCTATGTAATGAAGCTTTGACTCTGTTGCCGTTCCTTTACTAATGTGGTAGCACGTAGCACGCTAAGCATTAAATGTAATTTACCATGTGAACATTACATAACCAAGAAAAATATTGTTGCATGAATAAGTCAACTAGCGCCATCTAGTGTCAGGAACGAGAGCGAGGGGAGCATTGAGAAAATGACATCACAAATCACTCAACCGACAGCGCCTAGTCGAAACTCGAACGCTCGGTACCTTGCGCGTGTTTACTTGAACATTCTGGATATTTCTTTGCTAATTTAAATAAGTAGGCGCTGCAAGATGCGATCGTAGTATAGTTGAACTCGGCGACACAAGCGAAGCTTCGGAGCGGAATTAAGTGAATTAGTGTGTTTAATTATTAGTGTTTTTAGTTTTAATTTGTGTAAAGTAAATTAAAGTGTTAATTTAGGTAATTTTATCGGCAATTTTTAATTGTCACGAACCTCAAGCTCGTAACAATATTATATCTTCTTCTTACTCATGTTCACTTATTTCTATCAGTTGCATATTAGATATTTCCATCAGAGGGTTCCGCACATAGACGTGTCTGGGGGCCAGTAAATTAGAAGGTACATTCAAGACATCGCTCTCCTCGCCGTGAGCGACAAAATGCGTAAAGTTGTAGCATTGACCTTACGCAAAAAACTTTAGATTTATATAAAGTAGTGAAAGTAAAAAATACTTTTAGTCAGTGTTATTTATTATCTATATTGAATATATTTTATAACACTGCATTACGTTTTTAATATCAAATAATTTCAACAACTAAAAATCAAAATTAGATTTACTTAACTATAATAAAATACATTCTACACTTAAGTTTCGCAGACCAAACTGTCTGGGCTTTTCTCGCAAATGAAGGCGTGTTGGTGTTCACACCAGAGGTCATCAAGTAGCCCCGTCCGGTACACGCCACCACAAAACTCTCCAGTTGTTGCGTTGTTGGGCTCACCGAGTGAGAACTTGTCGTATCCAGCTTCTTTGAGCGTTTCACCTGGTGAAAAGATTAGGATTATCTTAAATTCGAAATTTTATTCACGCAGGGCTTCACACATTGAATGCAGAGCCAATGGTGTCCACCTGATGGTAAGTGGTGACGCAGCTGAAGATGTTTCAGCGCACTTAACAATTTTACATATACATAAATCTATTAAAGATACATATATACATACATACCATATTATGTATATAACATTAACATGATAATAATTGTTATCATGAAATAATAATAAAAAAATATTTTTTTTTCATAAGGTGTTCACGAATTAATTTCTTGAATGAGCATTAGCTTAGTGCTATTCGTATGTCGTCGGGTAAGGAATACAATGTCTTCGGATATAGAGTAAAATAGCCAGTATAGTAAAAATCTTTCTGTAGAATCAAGTGAAATTTTATTTAAACGTTACCCCCACACTAAGATTTTCTCTTGTTTCGTAGGGGCAGTTTACAAACATAAATTGCACAAGGACAAACATCCAGATCCGGAACAACTATTTGTAGGCCATACAAACATTTGTTCCGTGCGGGATTCTAACCCGCGACCCCCAGCGCAGCCACTCATTGCTAAGCCACTGCGCCACAGAGTCGTCTAACTCTGTCATGAGTTGAAAAAATTTAAATATTTCCCAAGATATAAAGGAGAAACTGGATTGTTTAAATAGAAAAAAGAAAAAGCAGAATTCTAGAATTATGCCTCTGTGTTTGATTGTAACCCATTTAAGCCGATTACGATAGAGAGAAATATGATCATGCTATGGATACACGTATCCAATGCAATTACTAAGAAGACGTTCTAGCTTGTTGAGAAGATATTTGTCAAAATCTGGGTAACAAACATCAGGACAATCAGTAATGACTATAATGAAAGTTGACAGGTCGAAAATTCTATAGACGGTAGAAAGACCGTAAGGTGGCAAAGACTTTGCGGCTGATTTTAGTGACATGTGTATTTAATTTTCATGTACTGTCGATGTACAGGCCTAGATTTTTCACAGAGTTTGAGAAGGGTATCATGAAATCATTGTAATAAACTGAAGGCAAATTTGATAAGCTTATTTTAGACAGCAGAGTTATGCCTGCTGGCTCACACTTTCTCCCAAACAACTATATACAAGCTTGGATAAAAAAGGGAAGTAAAAAAATGCAAGAAAATTACCATTAATAGTCAACCATTCGCCGTGTTGGTTCCAGTCGTGGAAACCGACGAAGGCGACCGCCTTCCAGAAGTTTCCAAGCAATGAGATGGGTGGGTGCTTTGCGAATATCTCCTTGATCAGTTGCGCCTCTACCTCGCTGTTGATGATAGCTAAGTAGCCACCTTCAGCCGCACAGGTCATGTACGCACGGGACCAAGTGCGCGGCACGGTGTGGAATTTGTAGCAGCTGCCGGTACGCGAGTCGAACACGTATTCTGAAAGATGAAAGCGGTTGACGTTTGAAACATAACATACGGCAAAATCAAGCCGTGCCTATATTATGTTTGTAGAAAAACTGGATCAACGCGACCGGAGAGGATCACGCTCTTACAATACACCAGCTCGAAATAGCAGTTGCATTTTGTGTTTTGAATGGTGGGGGATGAAATCCGGAAACATTTTACAGAGGTATTTTGATTCTACGTATCAGTATCTGTTATACAACGCATCTGTATTGATTTTTCGCTGATAAGTATAGGTGTATGTGGGCCACAGCAATGACGAACTATGAGGTGAACTTTGTTCTTATTTGTCACCCTTATTTGTACTTATAAAAAAATGAAATTTTTAACTTTCTAAGCATTTTTTAATAAAGTTAGAAACTGTTGATTTGTCGTGATATAGTATTTGAGTGTGACATTCATGTGAAACAAAAGTCTTTGTGCTATTACTTGAGAAACCTCTTATTTCAGAGAAGTTTGCTAGGGTACGGAAGAAGCAGCTCATTTCATAAACCCTCTAAATGTTTAAGTCTCACAGAAATCCATTAATTCTCAAATAGTTCTTCTTTACAACGGATCTGATAGTACAGCACTTAAAATGTCAATAAACAACTTCAATGTGGTCTTAGTGTGTCGATATTTAAGTGCTCATATTGTGTACTACAAGCTCACGATGACTTAATTTTTCTTTCGCCCTGTCAGCTTTGACCGTGAAGGCAAAAGTGAGACGTAGGTATCACGCACGTTGTCATTGCCGGGCAAAATATTCAGCCCGGGGAGCGGCCAACCCTCCATGTAGTCCGAAAACTTTGATAGCGTGATTTAGGCTTAGGTTCGCTTACGTTGGTGTTGCGAAAACAAAGCCTCCATATACTATTTGCTTCGTCTTTTGTGACGTGTAGCAAAGATGTGAAATAATTTTCCAGCATCTGCCTTTCTATCCGGTCATAATGTGTCTTTAAGATAAAAATGAGATGAAACAAAGTGTATTAATCCTTCGAAATATGTAACGCCGACTTTTAAAGAAGGTAAGTCTTTCTTCTTCTTTCTTTTTTCAGTTCCTAAAAGTCTGTGGCCGTGAAAGGAAAAGGGAAGATCTCCTGCCGGATAAGGTGTTCTGCTCGGGAAGTGGCTAACACTCCTTGTGATAGTCGGAATTATTCTATACTCATATATACTGTTTTACTTCGGAACTTTGGTAGCACGATTCAGGCTTCGATGTGTTTCGCTTGCGGCGCGACAACAGTGCCGCCAAAAGTTGACCGCTAGGCACGGGCTTATTGCATCGTAGGGAGAATCTGTCTTAATCAGCTCGCTCGACAGGAGGATTGGCGATTGTAGTTCTACGTCTCACATCTTTGACGATGCTGGCTGCCGAACTGAGTATTTAAAGACAGACGTTAACGAGATGGTTTCCGCAGTATCCATCATAAACCACGAAATCATTCTGGGTTTTCTCCCGATACTTGTTACGATACCCATGTTACGAAATTTACGTTTTTTTATAGAATAAGGGTAACAAACGATCACACAGTCCACCTGATGGTAAGTGGATGCTGGGACCAACAGACATCTTCATTTAACTTTTTTTATAGGATAGGGTGACAAACGAACACACAATCCATCTGCTACTAAGTGGTTGCTGTGGCCCATAGACATCTACATCTATCCTTGATTATGAATCAAAATGCAGATGCGTTGTCACCCATGAGGACCAAGATGGAATGCCTCGTTTCCAGTAAAAGGGTCGCCGGTTTTCTACACTAACCGTACGAAACTCAGCAGCATAAAGCTACTATATTACGCTGGTGTTCTGTGAGAGCGTGGTCCTTCACCGGTCGAGCCGACCCATTCGTGCTACAAATGTACTACTAATATAGCTGCAGCATGGTTCTACCACGCATAAATCGATTAAGAATCAAAATTCAGATGAAGACTAAGATGGAATGCCTCAAATCCAGTAAAATCCGTTTCCTTTGGTTCTCTACACTAACCATACGAAACACAGCAGCAGTAAAATGTTATTTTACGCTGGTATTCTGTGAGAGCGCGGTCACCTGGTCAAGTCGACCCATTCTTGCTAAAACCACAACATAGTTGCAGCGTGGCTCTACCACGGCATAAGGGGCTAGCCAAGATAAATTTCTTACCACTGTCCGTAGTGCCACAGTTAGACATAAGCATCATGTTACTATTTTTTTTGTAACAGATATAGGGAAGAGGCTCGTTGCAGTTCACGTCAGCCACGTTGCCATCCTGAAGCATAGCTATGCAGCTCTCTTCGTCCTTGAAATTGTCCGGCTCACCCACAGCCCAAGTGTGGGGAATCTTCAAAAGAGGAACTCCTGAAAACGAAGATCGTAGGATTGCTTTTCCGGAAGTCAGTTAATAGTATATATATATATATATATATATATATATATATATATATATATATATATATAATACTAGCTTATTAGGCAGACGTTGTTCTGCCCTTTTCGACGAACCGACACGGTGTGCAAAATTCATTAAAATCGGTTATATACTTTAGGAGTCCATCGAACAACATTATAAACAAACAAACAAATTTTGTGCAAATTTTATATATATTTATTAGGGCCGATGCAGATGCAAAGGTAAATTGCCAGCAGGAAAAAAAGGAGCGGAGTAGTTAGTCTGAAACGCGAGCTTTTGCTTTACATGTATTTTCCCATAGATAATTTAGTTTTTGGTTATTTTTAAGCTATTGCATAGCTTCTATCGCGGGCCTTGAGTGCGGGAAAATCCAATAATTTCGTAACGAAAAAAACCTCACGCTCTCCGACGGGCACGGAGGTGTGGCTTGAAGGCCGTGCATTGTCTAACGATGGTCTAACGTCGTTTCTTTTCCTCAGTCTTCGACACGGTGTTTGTGTATAAAGTGTTTTGAAATTTTGAATATGAATGAACAAAGTGCATTTATTATTAATGAAGAAAGTCACGAAAAAATAGTGAAAGAAAATGAGTGAGTACTCTATATACATACCTACATTTTATTATTATCACAAATGCAGTACTAATTTTGAATTGAAAATATAATACTGCTATAAAGATAACCTAAATTTTTGATATTAAAATGAGCGATATTAAAAGTAGCCCTCTTTATATACATACAAACACACACACGAGTATAGTTTAAATTCTCAATTTAGATTCTCAATATGTATATATATACTCGATTAACCGGACTAATTGTTGCCGTTAGGGATTCGGATAATCGAAAATTCGGATGATCGAATGTATGAAGAAAAGCGGGTTTTGTGCATTTGTAGTACATATGTACATATATAATGTTATGTGTTTATTAAAAACAACAATTTCAATGAAAATCAATGTTTATTAAGAAATTATTATTTTTTAATAAACATTGATTAAATTCCACGAAGAGATATAAATCTATATAACCATCCGTTACTTGCGACAAACGAGCCGCCGTCACCTAATTTTTTATTTAACTGTAATGCTTTTTCACAAAGCAAAGGGCCAGATATCATTTGCCCAGTTGCTCGTTTTTGTAAAAACCAACAATACAAAGCGTCTTCTAATTGCCAATTTACTCGCGGACATAGGTCCTTATGTCCGGGACGGGGGTTTGTTAGCGCCTGATAGTAGATCGTCTTATCTCAAGCGGTGTGAAGCGACGATTAGTGAGGTGCGGGAGGGGGAGGCTAGCTGCATTTGTGCGCGCGGTCGGTCACCCCTAAAGTTGGGCGTTATAACATACAACAGATAATATATTTCATTATATATTTTTAATCTTACAACACATTAGAATAATGAACCATTGACTGTTATAATATTATATTCATTATCGTTAGAAAGCGTCATCTGTTTACGTTTACGGTCCAACCGTCGCGTCGGCCGAGACAATGGGAGTCATAAAATACTACCTATATTCATTTTTTGTACCTACACAGTTTTTTGCGACGCGGTCCGGTGATACAGTATTTTTCACAAATAGTGAGTTCGTTATAACGCGGGTTCGGTTAAATCTGGTTGAATTTGATTGGATTAACCTAAGTAACTTGAATTAATATCAAAGAATAAGAAATACTGCATAAATAAAATAAATAAAAAATTATAATTGCATAAGTTGATACAAAATGCTATGCAATAGCTTTACCGCGGCAGTCCCCGAATGCCACACGTCTTTTTTTTAATATCTTTTCGACAAATTCAGATGTTTATTGTTTCAAACCCTGTCTGCGTTGAATTACAAATATTTCCGAAAAAATTATGTAAATTGGCCTACGCGTTACGGAGGAGATAGATTTCAAAGAATCGTTTTCTTGCGCCATGGGAGCTCCGCTCCAATAAAAAGCTAATGTTTTATATGTTTCCAATAACCGATATAAAACACTTTAGCGAAATAATTAAGTGATGATGTTTTTAATGGAATTTTTATTTTGTACTCAAATTAAATATAAAATAATGTCGTAGTAGATAAATCATTAATCACATTTTATTACTGTTATAGCCTATCAAAAGTCCAGTGCTGAACACAGACCTCCCTCATAGAGGGGTTTACGATACTCATTAGGCAATGTTTGTCATAGTTGCTGCTCGTGGAAACTGCAGTTATTTTATTATTTTAGTAAATATTGTTTATATTACTTCAGTTTCGTAATAGGAGGCAGAGTGAAGTTTTCTTTTCTCTGTCGCCTCTTAGATTAGGTATTATATGATCATTTTTATTTTTTTATTTTTATAGACTGGCGTGACAAACGAGCACACAGTCCACCTGACGGTAAGTGGTTGCTGTGGCACAGAGACATCTACATCTGTCCTCGATTACGAAACAAAATGCAGATACGTTGTCACCCGTGAGGACTTAGGTGGAATGCCTCGTTTCCAGTAAAAAGAGTTTCCGGTTCTCTACACTACCCATACGAAACACAGCAGCATTAAGTACTCGAATCAATTTAATCACACACACAAAATTTAATCACTATCGGTCTATTTTTAGCAGGAGTTTAGTCAAATACACATGGAAAGAAGAATTATAAATATAGAGATAATTTGTATATCTAATAACGTTAAGCTTGTAAGAAATGCTGTGAGCACTAAGCATGCGGTGTTTACCAATTATTAGATGTGCACTAAGTTTAGGTTGGTATTTTTGTAACATTTTTTGGTGAACGAAATAAAGAAATATAAAAAAAGAGGAAATGTGTAAAACCTGCCATCATTAATCGCTCCGCAATCCTCACAGAAAAGGCCTGTGCCGAGCTTCTTATCTGTGAGGCTGCCGCCCAGCTGTGGGACTTAAATAGGCTGTAAATGTAATACACTTTATTGCTATTTTTAAATAAATAAATATCACTTTATTGCCACATTTAAAAAAACATGTTTACATATAAACTAAGTACTTAATCTTAATGAAATTAGACAAACGGAGGTGACTCAGCTTTTGCTTACATGGAACTAAGATCCCATGAAGCGCCGGTGTTCAGGCACTCCTTCCTCCCTGAGTTGTCATGGATGTCGTGAGATTTGCGAGTTCCCCAATCACCTCTATCATTCACTCATATAACATTATATTTAACATATCATGGTTGTGAAATTTCTTGATTATTTATTAATCATTCGTGCGTGCGTGCGCGCGCGTTTGAGTGTGTGTGTGTGTGTGTGTGTGTGTGTGTGTGTGTGTGTGTGTGTGTGTGTGTGTGTGTGTGTGTGTGTGTGTGTGTGTGTGTGTGTGAGTGTTGAGAATTATAATTACAACTCTATCTTAAAGATGTTAAAAATTTATTACCTGAGATCCGCGAAATATCTACATAATATAAAACAATGTCGCTTCTCGCCGTCTGTACGCTTAGATCTTTTAAAGTTTTAAACTATACAACGAATTTTAATGCGGTTTTCATCAACAGACAGAATGATTCAAGAGCAAGGTTTATATGTACAATGCATGTGTTAGCGACGACAAAGTGAATTCGAACATTTAATTTTAATTACTTCTTATCAGTGATTTAAAACTAAGTGATAGTATTTAATCTTAATTGTTTCCTATTTGTAAAATAAAGTTAAGTGTAAATACTGATTAGTGCTGAAAACAGGAAAGTAGATTAGAACATTAGACGCAAGTATAAGCTTATTTTTTCCAGTAAGATTTCTTTTATCATAACTCTAAGAGCTATTAACATATAGGTGATTAATATAATTTTTCTTCCTTTAAAGTAATTCAAAAGAAACATTAATATGTCAATTAATCACTATATAATGTCATTTCATTATGAGAAAGATTTAAATTTTATGAAAAAATATTGTATAGATTCTTAAGCATTAATCCTGAAAAAAGTGTTGTACATTCCTACCTCTTGGCGGCGCTACTTGTATGTTCGGCAAAAAATACTATCCTACTCCGGAGCTAAACCGTGAAGCGACCGCGAAGCTATTTTTATTTTTTATAAGTGTAAAATAAAGGTTTATTGAATAATTTAGGTTTAGAATAATAGAAATAAGTTGTATCTATCGCTAGGAATAAATATAAATGTTGTAAGGTATGTTTTACCACGTTTATTAAGAAAATTGTAAATCTCTCTTAGAAAGGGTTATTCTGTGCTCTGATTGGTCAATAGATTCACTAATGCCGTGTGCGATTTTTTCTTAATTATGATTGGTTACGGCCGCCTATAAAAAAGGGGCGTTTTTTCGTGGTAAAACATTCCAAATCCGGCAATGTAATAATAAGGAATCAAGAAATAAAATAAGAAGAAACTCTCAAGAAGTGTTATTTATTGCTCATCTAACTGCTACTGTATGCTCTCCAGTTAACATCCCGCCAGCAAACCCGCTCTATTTTATCGACGCACCCTTATACGAGCAATTACATTGGTCCTTCGAGAAGCCGGATCGGGTTTAAGGAAAACTAGGAAGATGCCTTCAAATACAAGATCAAAATCAGTGCAGTCGAAGACTACGAGTGAAAGTAACGCCACTACGGGTACCAGTACGACGGATTGGAGCATGAATACGCCGAGTGATTCTACAAACACGACGGCTACTAACACGTCGACTTCAGATCGATCGACGCTTACAAGAGCATCGCCCAGCAGCGTACACAGACAACCCGTACTTCTTAACAAGAACATTGCCGGAAAAGAATCAACACCGGGGGACGTAACCCATACCACCCCCCCGACACGCACCGTCGAAGCGTCAGTTCCTCACCAAGAAGAAAGTCATCCAACGCCGCAGATTCAAGAAAGAAGTGTCGCAATGAAGACTCTGCAGCAGCCTCACCCTAAGAAGACGACCCGCGATCCAGACACGCTTTCCGTTCGCTCGTCGCATAGGAAGAGAGCAGAAGCGCAAGCAAAGA